TTTTCAAGAAGCGCACTGGGCTATGTTTGAGTTGTATATTTTCTTTGCTTTTAAATTCCTGGTTAACTTGCGATTCAAGCAAACAAGTGATTTTAATACTTAGCAAAGCCATTGAGGCGCCCAACTTCTAGGAGCGCATTCCATGCTGAGCATATACACTCGAGTCCTGCAGCTCGTCCTTGTCCTGTTCCTAATTTTTGAGAATTAAGAATAGCCATTCATATGTTTAGTATAGTAAAGTATAGCATCTACGGCGCTGAAGAATAGGCATGGCTAGGCCTGTCGCCGATTCTAGTCCTTTTCGTGACTTGTCCACAGACCTAAATGAAACTGGCCTTTTGACCAAATCCTTTCAACTGGCGTTTGTTTAAACTTGTTACTAAACTCATATTATATAGTTCCGTATAGGGTGCTAGGCATTTCAAAACTGGACATATATATGACTCTGCATAGCCTAGTCTAGTCTGTTCTGGTGAAAGTTCCAGTGCTTAACGGGTGCTTGCGTCTGTCACGCCCTTTTAGGGGGCGAGCCTCATCTCTTTTAAATGGGACTGCAAATAAATGTCGATTTCTTGATTTATGACGGGGATCAAAAGAGTTTCATGCTATGATCACATCACCCGTTGCACAATGAGTAGCCAGAAGTCAGGGTCGGTGGAGGGAAAGAAAGGAAAACTTATGGTGTAGTTTGTAAGGTATGTGCATTTTTATGGTTATGACAGTACCAGATTGTAGTATGTTATCATTATTACTGCTGTGTACAATATTGTGCGTTGCAATTGCAATTGAATATCTTAAGTGGAGAATCGTCTCAGTTCGTTTGTGATGGAGTGGTTATTGATGAACGATCTTTCTCGGTTTGTCAATGTACCACATGTTGCGAGGACTTTGTATACTAGCATGAGGTCCTTAATTGTTGCTCCTGAGAAAACTTACAGGAATGGATTAGTCGTATCCTGGTAATAAAATCGGAAATTCTTTGTAATTCACCCATTTTCCACTGTCTTTGATCGCGGTCATGGTCATGGGTCATGGTTGCTGGGGCTGGGAGTTCGTTTAGGTGGTTTTCGTCATGGGTCTGCAGTTCCGTTAGGTTCAGTGAGGATCGTCTCAAGTCATCTCTGTTTTTTTTCTCGTCGTGGTTGTAAAAAATCAAATATTTTTTTGCTGAGTCACGGTCAGAAAATGTGGCGCCGATATCGTAATTAGCTTTCATTGATTTGGAGAGTATCCTTCCTGCCTAGCAAGGCTGGCGACTTGTTTATCTGAAAATAATGCTGGCAGTTTGATTTGTGTGCTGTTTGTGAGAGTGAGGCTGTGTTGAGGAATTTAGGTTTGTTGTATTGCATGTTTGGCTATTTCAGTATATGTTACGTGGGTCTTATGGGTGTCTATGTATATTGTTGTTTATTTTTTATGACGGCTTCGTTCCGGTATGGACAGCAAGTGTCCTATATAATCTTGCTGGCAAGTGTCCTGTGATTTTGATGGCAGTTGATGCGTTGTTTGTGTGTGGCGGTGCATACATGTATGGGATGGTATTCGAATTAACAGCACTTGTAGCAGATGAGAATGTGAGTGTGTTTTTTCTGTTCGTACTGTGTGGAGTGTGTTCGGAGTGTGTGTGAATGTGAGTGTGTTTTTTCTGTTCGGACTGTGTAGAGTGTGTTCGGAGTGTGTGTGAATGTGAGTGTGTTTTTTTTCTGTTCGGACTGTGTGGAGTGTGTTCGGAGTGTGTGTGAATGTGATTGTGTTTTTTCTGTTCGGAGTGTTAAACATGGACTAGAGAGGCTGTCGTTGAGGATGCGTTGAATGCTATGTGTCCGTCGTGATTATCTTGATCACGTGAATAATTGCTTTTTCTTCACTACCACGGCATCCTGGATCCAGTTTCAGAGTCTTGTGATTTCCTTTTTTATTTCTTCCTGTTTCTGTGTTTGCCTAGTTAGTATTCGAAAGCAAAGGTAATATAAAATAATTGGTTACAAATTTATTTTTCGGGAATCGGTCTGTAACTTCTTCAGTTGTATTTTATATGTTAAAAATCTCGAGTAGTCTGGTTGACTTAGTTAATTGAGACGGTTAGAAGTATGATGATGGAGATTACTTGATGAGGATGAAGGCAGCTAATTACGAGGTCGTGAAGAAGAGTTAGCGCTCAAAGCCCTTTAGGGCATTAACGTCGGGTTTGGGTCGTGAGGGGCGTTGGGAGACAGAGGGTTGGGAGAGTGAAGACACTGTCGTATAAAAATGTCATGTTAGAAACAAAGGCACGGAGAAAAATCAGTCAAACTTTCCTAATGACACTCACTTGCTTAAGAGAGGCTGTATATTTTGAAGGCTTAGACTGAGGGCACAAGAATTTGATAGCAAGAACAGCGCTGAAAATATTCATCCAGAAAATATTCAGAATATTAGCATCTGATTCATTCAAAATATTCAGAACGGGAGCCACTTTTTGTCAGGCTAGTGTAAAATTATTTCATGCGCTAGTAATATTGAAAGACGCTGGGTTATTCTATAATTATAAAAAAACGATTTGCTTTTTTATGGAGACTGGCAGCCGATTTTATGATAGGTCAGAATTGTTGACGTTAATTGGGATTATGTGATTCCGTTTGCATCTGGGAATCGTTGATCCATCAGATGGAATCCAACTCGATTCGCAAATGGCATTTATTATAGAAATTCCGCGCATCACGGCACTAACCAGAGCTAAAACGTTTATTAAAATTAAATTTGATCAAACCATACTATCATAATTTCAAATTAAACTATCATAAAATGCTCTTATTGCTTATTCATGCTTATACTACCAGTCCTCAGGAAATTTTCGTTTGATTTGTGAGTCTTGTTTTTAGAGTGGGACGCCTGTCGCGCGGAGATCACCACTGCCATGCTTCGATTGGATCATCGTGCCTCCCTCCACCAATACCGTAGCCTCGAACACCTCCAGACAATCACGTTATCAGCCGTAAGCACTAGACATATTATTTGAGAGAAATATACGTGTAGTTTTTATAGCAAAACGGTAGGTAGTTACCCTAAAAACACTCCTCCTACAATAATTGCACAGAAGTTACCTTAGAACAACAAGTAAAACGTCGTTATAGGGATCGTAGAGCAATAGTGTCATATTAAAAGTTATTTTCTGATTTTGGTTTTAAGTGACTTCTGACGTGACCTCGTTGAGATACTTATATTCATTGCTTTGTGATCCATCACGGTGGTAGTGTTACTTTGTCATGAGTTGGTCTATTTATTTTGTGCTAATCTTTTGTGTAAAATCAGTGCTGGTTTCTAGAGGTGTCCATGATGATTGCTAATTATATCTCTCTATTATTTACTTGTCATGATTTGCGTCATATCTTGCTTTGTTAGTATTATATTAATACAAGTCAGTAATATGTTTATTCATGTATTTTTAAAGTGTGTCCAAGGTTATAAGCCGAAACACGGCTCAGAGAATACACGGTATAATTTTTGAGCTTGTGTATTTGAAGTTTTTTTTTCATTAGTATTGTTTTGATTAATCACTTTTATTCCTTCTTTCTCCCAGTTATTCAATTATTGTTGACCGACCATTGATTGAATGTCTGGGTCACCGAAAGCCTTGTTTTCATGTTTATTGAATGGACCCTTACAACGTAAAGACATTCACCTCGTCAACATCCTGATAGTTTATAATCCAAGCACAAACAGGCTGAAACAGCTCAATGTGAACAGAAACAATGAGTTTTGGGCGCTGTTCTTTCTTCCTTGATACGACATCTTGTACAACAGCAGAGGATGACGCAGCATTTATAGGGCAGTCTCAGACACGGGGCGCTTCACTTTGACCCCAACTCTGGTGATGTTAGGGACCAGTTTTTGTGTTCTTGCAGTGCAGCTTGTTGTGTGCGGCACTGCAGTGTGCGCCCATTAAATTGCACTTTGTTGTGTGCATTACTGTGTACTGTGTGCATTGCTGTTTGTGTCCATTGCAGCTTGCTGTGTGCGGCACATTCGGTGATGTTTATACTGCGCACGCAGCTGTGTTAGTCTAAAAACGAATCCTTCCTAGTTAAACTGGTAACCGCAAGCGTCTTCAACAAAAGATCTAGTTTTTACTGCTGCTGCTCAATTGCGTGGTTATAGGCAAATGTTCAAGCAAGTGCCAATGGGATGGAAGGCTTTTATTGCTTTGTAACTATAAGTGGCCTTTCGAGTGTCAACAGTACTACATTTTCCGGATCATATTTATACTTATAGGTGCGACAACTTGGATAAACTAACATGTTATAATGGTCATTTAATTGAACGAGTTAAAAAAACTTTCAAATATATATATAGACAATCTCTAAATGTTCGCTTCCCCATACGCCAAACAACTAATACTCTTCCATTACCAATGTGTATGTATTGGTATTGTATTGTATTGGTGTATACCAATACTAATACCAATGGCCCAATACACTGGACCATTGCAAACATTGCTTCGATCGAAATTTTGCACCTCTTACCGTAGCTGCATCAGCCAAAAAAGTAAAAAAAATATTTTCCCTCAAACTTTATTTCTAAATAAATCAAACCCTCAACCCTCAATTTTGCTCTTTAAAAGTTTATTATTAAATGATGCGTAGTGAACAAAAGTTTGTAATTTGCACTAATATATGCGTGCTAAGTTAGCAGTTACATAAGTGTATGTTAAATTCAGATGTATAACTGTTTTGGCACTTATATTTATGTTTCAACGACAGTAACAATTTCAATCAATAAGATCGTGAAAGTTGAGGCAAGCATATGAGCAGACGAGACTATACCTGCTTTTGATTTAACATGAATTCAACGTCAGTAAATTCTTGTTGAAGCAAATTCCGTTCATTTCAATCATGTTACAAAACTCAATATATTGAAGGCATCTTAGTAACGTGATGATATAACACGTATATATATATATATATATATAGTTGATGCCAGGATATTTTAGCCTTCGATTTACTGTGCCATATAANTAATTGGAATGAAATGGAAAGTTGCGATCATAGCATTACCATCTTGTCAATGAGAGAGCAATACGAAGCAATCATCAACAAACTAGACGACGATTTAAAAGCTTTCTTTTTCAAGCAGATTCATCCATTATTTCAGTACATGGAGTCGGGAGGTTATACAAATTTTGAAAAGCTAATGCCGATTGCTCATTTTATTTGCGAGAAAACTCTTTCCCTGAAAGACTCAGAAGCAGAGCAGTGCGAAGAAGACTTTTTGTCACTTACAACCAAAGTCTTAGGTGAGAACTTTAATAGTGATTTTTTTCAAGACCAGTCGAAACGCTTCAAGCGATTTGTTGACTATATCGAAGACCCGGCAAACGCACTGGAAAGAAGTTCCTACAGTGGCTATGAAGAAAAGTCAAACAATGGCTACGAGGAGCCATCTCCTAGCTACATACTTGTTCCAGATGATGAATATGATTATGCCTATCCTTTCCTTGTGAAATTTTTGGCGGCTGCTGCCATTGGAACTTACGGATTCTTGGGTCTTCTTGCTTTTCAAACCTTATTATTTCTGTTGGTTAACAGAAGCGGTCCTCCGGGAGAAAAAGGAAATAAAGGCTTGAAAGGAATTAATGGGGTTTTAGGAGACAAAGGAATGAAAGGTTTTAAAGGCATGACAGGTGATAAAGGACTAAAAGGCCCATCAGGTAGTCAGGGCATGCAAGGAATGGAAGGAGATACTGGACCTGATGGAGACGGCGGAGATATGGGACCCACTGGACCCAAAGGATTCAAAGGACCTAAAGGAATGAAAGGAGTCAAGGCACAAAAAGGAGTGAAAGGACCTAAGGGCCCTCTTGGAGATAAAGGTAACAAAGGACTCAAGGGATTTAAAGGTTTTAAAGGCGATATTAACCCGGGGAAAGGCAATGGAAGACGTAGACGTAGATCAGTGACCGTGAGATATCAGAAATCAAGGTCAGATGGTGATCTCGTAAACCTGCTCGACGCTCCTCTTCTGCTGGATTCTCTTTTCAGACAACAAGTGACTAAAAACGTTTCTACTGAAATGCACGATGAAAGTATAAGCGATATATATGACGTCATTAATAGATTATGGCGTCAATATAAGAGTCCTGTAGGCTGCGCCCGATGTCTGCTTTTCGAGTTGCTCAAATCGCGACGGGCAGCAATATTGGATAACTACGTCATGTGAGTTTGTTGCTTGAAATTGTTTTGATTGTGTTTTAGAGTGTTAAAAAATCTAACATCAATTTATTTGTGTTGCCTACTTTAGAAAATCACTAACCGGTCGTAACATTCCGTGGTCAGACTTCCAAAATTAACTAATAAATAATAAGAAAAATTCGCTGAATCGTAAATACCTTTAAAGAATTATCAATTGGAGGAAATATAGAAATTCAACGTTTAAGATTGCTGAATGGTAACTAATAAATAATAAGAAAATTATTAGTTAATAATCAAAATAATTAATCAGCTGATTCCCAATCGCACTCAAATTTAAAAAACTAAATATTATTAATATGACTCGACTTGAGACATAATTTCGCTCCGATATCTAATTTACAGCGCCGGGTTCACCCACGTGCTCGGGGACTCGGGTTCTCTGCAGCTCCTGGACGACGTGAGGCGCGGCCGGCAGCGCGGCGTCAAGATGCGCTGCAGACGACAGAAGAACTCCTGTTTTCTAGAATATTTGTCAAGCGTTCAGCAGTGAGGTTTAGGATAAAATATCTCGAGGACTTGTTTTAGTTTATCCAAAACCTTAGCTTTTCAAAATTCACGCTTAACTTGAAGAATACGCCAATGCATTATCGATCATTGTAAATTTATTCATTTGATAAAATGAGCGATAGAATCTGGATAAGAGATTGCTAATATTAAAGAAGATGTATAGAACGTGGACCTCAGGGCAGCGGCACGTGTCTTGTGGAACTTATACCATTGAATGGGCAGTTGATCGTTGGCCGGTATCAAGTCCATGAAACTCCAGTTATGTATTATTTATGTATTAAGAGTTCTTAATTTATGTGATGTTAGGGCAATAAAGTATTTTGATATGACCGTTGGTTTTCTGATCATTGAACTTGTGGGCTGCCACAATACTCAAGACAACTAATCCCGGAACTACCCCAGCCACTAAATTTATGTTAACAAATTTCGCGGAAAAATTACAATTGATTTAAAAATTTGAAAATCCTGCTAAATGCTGCTCGATTTCTGCCAATGCTGGCAGAAACATGAGGAAGTTCGAGTCTGACCTTTCAGGCCTCTCTGAAACGGAAAATCATGTTAAAACTAGGAAGCCCCTACATTTGCTTTAAAGTGGCTAAGTTTTGCGAACTTTAGCCACTATGTTGTAAGTTTTTATATTCATTCTTATATAATTCATTTATATGATACCTCATGTTTGACATGAAAACATTCATCGATTTTAAAGTAATGCACTTTTTCCCATTGTTTTGTTATAATTACCGGTGCCTTTACAGCGAAGTATTCTTTTATTAATTTATCCTACAGAGTTAAATTTTAGGCTAATTTTCTGAAGCTGATTGAAAGTTGCTTTCAATCCAGCAGCTATGCCAGCAGAGTTGCTTTTATATTAATATGATTCCCAGCGTTAAAAGATGTATACACTTGTTGACTCGCTAATTAAATTTATTAATTTAACTTCAGGCATAATTCCGAATATGCCTGTTCTCACAACTTTTGTGTAGCTCTTAATTTTATTTTATATTAACTTATTCATTTATTTTTATACTGGCATTGTACAAACTAATTTATTATCCATTTTCAGCCAAATATTATGAAAGATTTGTTTCTATCGTACATGTTTTTATAAATGTCGCTTACCTACGAAGCAAGCACCACAAAAGACAAATGAACTTTTATTATAAACATAATTGCGAACAATATTCAGATTCAACGTTAGCTCCGACCTCGAAGTAAATATAGAGCTCATCCACAACGGTGATCCCGCCATTAAGCTACGAATTGCCCAGTCACGGTTCTACTCACGATAGTTTCCTTTCCAAATTAAACTAATTATAATTTAGGTATAAATTCGCCGAAATTTGTATCATCTCTCATGCACATCGCCCTATCGTTCTTTTATACAAATTTCTTGTCGTTCAGTTATCTGAAATGAAAACATATCGAAAAGTTTATGTGGTCTGATCACTCATTAGTTCAATTTTACGGTTTTTGGAGAAACTTTACTTATGAAAACATGTTGCGCCACGTAGAGAGGAATGTATAATAACTTGAGAGGAAAGAATGTTGAGAGGAAGAATGTACAATCCGCAATATGTTTAGCAAATTTTCATTGTATCGTCTCAAAATATTAAGGCCGCTTGTACACAGAGCAATACGATGGAAGTATTGCACCGACTAGAATATTTTTTTAAGGTTGAATCAATTTAATTCAAACGTAAAGTATTTACTGTTACCTCAAAAAAAACGTATTCTTAAATTTTCTTGAAACCGCAATAGCACAACGTTCATTGTCACAATTTTTTTACTTTTGTAAGTAATCCATCTATTTCGACTCAGCAGCCTCAATTTTTCTACTGACAGTTTCAAACTGTGGTTTTCACTCCGGTGCCATTAGTGTGCTTTCGCTATATTATGACAGAGCATAAAAATCAGCTTTAAATATCTAAGAATACATAACATCAGCATTGAGAGCACACTGAAATCTGTGGTTTCCAGCCAACGAAACTTTAAATTTTTCATCGCAAAGTTCATTTTCCTGTAGTTGAGAAATTTGTTTTTAACTTGAAAGAGCTATAATTACATGGAAAGCTTAGAATTTTTATGGGAAGTGTTGGTGAGTGGACGTATCAAAAAGGCTTTACGAATGGATTTTGTTCGTGGCAAGATCGGCTTTTGATAGCAGCGAGATAATTCCAATCGCACTCCCGTTATCATCCTAGTCTAGCTGGACCAGCACCTGCATGGACCACGACCGGTGGAACAAGAATCAATGCTCACTTCTGGTTTACTGACTCCCAACACATCCTCAGGCCAGTATATAAGATAGACTGGTTATTCCAGACGATGGGCTTGTTCAAAACTGTATGACCTGAAGAAAATCGTTCACTTCCATAAAACGAATAAGCTTGTCTTAAAACGTAAATTGCTGCCCGAGCTCGTGCTCCCAATTGAAATGCTCGAGTTGTACACTGCCGGGCTCCTAAGCTGATCCTCCCTCCTAGCAAATTTGTGATTTTCTCTCTCTTTTTAAGAACCGTACATTTACAGCATATCTTTAGCGCAGTCGCAGCCCGGGCCTCCTATTTGTCACAAGCATTATTGTAGCGGTGAAGGATAGAAGGATAAAAAAACGTACTATTTAATGAATGCTTCAATATCGTCTGCTGTGAAAGTATTACTTAAGCTCGAATCGTCACTTGATGCGCTTTCATGTCTCAATAGTCTGGCTTCAGTTTAACAGGACAAGCTGGAGTAATTACAGTGCATGCATCAGAGAACACGAGCAGAATGGCTCTCTTAACAGTCATTATGGCTTGACTCAGGTTTTATGAAAAGTTCTGCTTCTGCTCCTGCCTGCATAAGCCGGGTCGTAAATCTAGTATTAACTATAATAACTTATATCACTATATCTGCTTAGATTGCACGGTCACCAAGAATTAAAAAAATATAACTCAGTACTCACTGCAGTGAGTGACAGAGAGCGCATTTTTTTGTCGACGAAAACACGAAGTGACACACGGACAGACAGACAGACGGACGGACATGGCGAGCACAATAGGTATTTTTTTCCATAAATGAGAAAATGCGCTAACAATTTAAACGACAAGTAAATGCGTCACATGTTCACGAAAACCCTATCATGGAGAAATGGTTAATTTACTTGGCGTTTACTTTCTTTATTTTCTTGCTTTTAAATCCTTTATTATAGCAAATTTCACGTGATTAATGAAAGCTGAGATGGTCCGAGAAACCTGGTCATGAGATCATCTCCACACGTCTTGCAGAATATTTTTTTAGCATGGTTCAAGAAAGCCATTTTGTTTGAATCAATGATCATTTTCCGGCAAATTTGCGAGAAATTTAGCTCCTTCTCGTAGTTCCTGCATTGCATAAGTGGAAGTAGATGTTGTTTTAATCCAAGTCCCTTAACCATAAATTCATAAAAGTTAGTGACAATTGGACTCAGCAATAGAAGAAACAATTCCAAATGGCTTCCAAACATTCCGCTTTTTACGGCTCGTTTTTTTAATTCTTACCGCACCTAAAACATAACTACTCGGTGTGCATAAGCGCAAAGTTATGACAAGATTCTTCCTCAGACCATGATGCAGTTAAGAACTGCTTAATTGGTGCCATAAAAATTTCCTCCTGACTCATTTCAAACAGGGTCAACACTGACGAGCTACGCGACCATTACTGTGGTGATTGTCGTAGGTTCCAGCTGTAATTACCTGAGCCCTCATTTTCACGTAATTGGTCTGTTGTTTCAATCTCATAGCTCATCGATCATTAATATCGGTTTCAACACGTTTACTTTGGTGTAGCTACTCACATAATTAGCAAAATTTTTGGCCAATTTAATTCAAATCTTCTGATCGTATAAGCGACAATGTGAAACTCTGCCCACAGTCAACAAAGCATCAACTGTATTCTCAGCTCGAACATTCTTCGAACATCTTCTTTAAATACGAACAAAATAAATTCCAACTTAACTTTGTACAAATATTATTTTTTAATGCAGCAAATCGTCAAGACGAAACGAATGAAAAGTATGATAAACAGAAACCAAATAATTATTTCTTTACTCTGTGTTGTTCTCCAAGCGTAAGTATAGGCGATTCTGAAGTAAGGCAATTAATTCTATGTCACCTAATGCTTCAATTCTGCATCACATGACCTCGAATGAACTTCGTGCAGGTCTGGTCAAAGCGCGCCCTCATACTTTCTTATGCATGATTTTCTAATGATGAAGATGATATATGGTAGAGCTTTGAAACTCGGAACATATATATTCAAATGACGTTTTTATGATGATACCTGCCTATTGCGACCTCTAAAAATTGTATCTGCATTTTTGGGATAATTTTCATAAATTTGCTATTTGTTCCTATTTTTGAACATTTCAAATTATCCCCGAAACATGAAAGAATCAACCATCGGTCCAAAATTTTGCACGCAACGTTTATGTGTTCATCCAAAACTTTTCCAAGCTATTAATTGTGAAACCGAACTCCAAAAGTGGAAAAAGCTTTCAACCCAACTGTTTACCTTTACCCCAACAACATGATCAAATCAAACAAGTACGGAAGATAACTTAACTTAATTTTGTCAGGACCATATTGTATGGCCACTAAATCGTTCACATTATTTCACCCAACATTTTTTTTTTTTTTTGACTTGAAAAAGATTTCATTATAATTAGTGTTACCAGAAAACAAGTTCCTCCCAATCTTGAAAGATATGCTATTGTAACTTTAAAACATTACAAAATGCACATTTCATGATTGTTCTGGTGTAAATAAATAGGAACAGTAATGAAAACCAGGAATATCGAGTAATTTTAATGCCGAGTGCTACTGGTACACCGGAAGTTAACGCTAATATATATAGTTCCGGAAGATGCGTTGAATACTGAAACAGATGAATTCCGAATCAAATTACTACAAGGCGCACAAAAGTTCTATAAAATAGGCAATAAAGTGGTAGAGTATAAAAATGTTCTTCGAAGAACTAAATAACGAAGCAGCCCAATTAAGGCCCCCTAGCTGGCAAGCCACAGCTAAGGAGACAATATAGCTACCTCCGTACAGGTCCTATAGGTCGCGACGACTATATATGGTCGACGAAAAATTAACGTCGGATATCCAGCATAATTTTTCCAAAATTTTGCGTTGAACTTCGATGCGGAAAACTTTAATGTTTAGTCAGAAAATTTCTTCAGAAACTGAGCTGCATGGCCCATACAGAGAGACACACTGATAACGCTTATACTCGGATTGACTCAATCAATAAAATGCGTTAAAAGTAATAACTCGTAATTCTCTTACGTCATCTATTTACATGGATA